AACCAGGATGAAAGATTAGACTGGCTGGTGGAAACACTGGAAATAGCCTGAGGCTGTTGGTCCATCCCACCCTGCACTGATGGCATGGACTGTCTGGGGTTCTGGGCAGGAGATTTTTCAGCACAGCCCTATCTGGAATGGCAGCTGAGATGAACTTCTAAATTCAGAGCATGTGTTTTACTTCATATACCTGAGGGAACGTCACACAGAAGGTCAAGGCCTGTTATTTTTTGGTTCCATACTACAGGAAATAATGGATTTAAGTGACATGCAGGCAGGATTTTGAGTGAAAGTGAGAAAAAACATTCTACCGGTGAGAGCAGCTTGACAGTGGAACCAAGAGCCTGGTCCACCAGGCTCTCCTTCCTTGGGTGTCTCCTAGCAGAAACTAGACGGTCTGGGATGCTTTCACTTCTTGCACTGACTGGGGGTTGGACTCAATGGCCTAACTGGCCCTTCCAACTCTATTATTCCATCATGTACTCTATGATTCTGTTGTATTCTATGGCCCTCATATTGCAAGTGACTGCAATGCATCTTCCTGACAACAGAAGGCACAGATGTCTGAATAGAGGAGGCAAGCAGGTAGCTCAAGACTGGTAGCTACAGACTATGTCCCTTGCTGCTTAATAAGCAGCAGCAGCAGCAGCAGTTGTTGTTTTAGATTTTTATCCTGCCTTTTTTTTTCATATACACCTCAAGGTGGTTAACGTACCTAATAGTCCTTCCTCCTCCTATTTTCCCCACAACAACAACTCTGTGAGGTGAGTTGGGCCAAGAGAGAGTGACTGGCCCGAAGTCACCCAGCCGGCTTTCATGCCTAAGGCGGGACTAGAACTCACAGTCTCCTGGTTTCTAGGCCAACACTTGAACCACTACACCACACTGGCTCTCAGTTTGGAGAGAGAATTGGATACTATAGGCACCCTGAACCAAGTCCATCACTAGGAGGAGAGATGCAGCTGTGGGAAAGAGTCCAATGAACTGTAGGAGACTTCAGGAAGCTAGTCTGTATGCAGAGGATCTACCTCTGCAAAATATTTAGACCCCAATTAGCAAAACTGGTCATACAAGAGGCAAACACGGCAGCCCGATTCCCTGCAAATGGGTTGGACTGTGACTCCCATTAATCCTAGACAACATGGAGTAAAACATGTTTGAAAGAAAGCCAGATGTGTATTTAGTGCAGAATACCTAAATTGTACTTTTGATGACCATGGATATCAGACTGTCTTCCTCAGAACAGACAATAAGTGAATCATGCTTCCTCTTGTCATGTCATCCTTCAGTCTCTCGTAGAAAGCTAAGATGAGCATAACCTTCCAGTGTGGACAGGCTTCTTCTCCCTTCTCTAGTATAGGAAGATTGGACATCTCTACAAGGGAGCAGTTCATTCCCAAATTTAAGGAGATCTTTACTGGAGGAGGAGGAGAAAGAGCAAACTGTATCCTCCAGAGAGTGAATCATTCTTAAGCATCAGACTGAGCCCCCGAGGCCTGCAATTAGAGAATATAAAATACACTATACTGTGTGTGGTAGCCATTTCAAGCTCACTTCAAAGTGCTGGCAATTAACTTAAACATTTTGCATCCATTTTATTTGGGGGACTTGTCCAGCCCTCAGGATCAGCTTCAGACTCAGAGCCTCTGCTTGTGGGATTATGGACACATCCACACATCCCCTAACTTCAGCTCAAGGGTGCCCCTCTAACCATTGTAGAAGATCACAGGCCTCCACAGCTAAGGCCACCTAATTTTGGAGTTTTCTGATCTAATGTGAAAGTGGTGGTTTCCATCTTCTCCCAACACAACCTATTTGGTGGTGGCTGGGCTCTGCCCAGGATCTATTGGCTGCTGTGCCAGGCTGTGTGTTTTGGGTGCTGAGTGATCTGTTTGTCCATGGGGACTTCTTTCTACATGGGTTATCATGTATAGAAAAAAAGCCTTGACTGACAGGCAGATTGCTCATAAGCAGAAGTACCTGCCTATGATCTCCTACCCCCTGCACAGGTCATCTACAAAGCCTGATCCATGGGGACAGATGGTAGAGGGTGCTTGGTGAAGCAGGCTTTACCAAGAACCTCATTCACCCCACCCCTGCAAGACATCAGTTGAATGGGCAGGAGTTTTCTGGTGAAGCAGGAGCAGAAAGTCCCTACCCACTCCATGAATCAGCTTTTGAGAGAGGGATAAACCATTAGCCATCTCTTGAAAGTCATGCTTGCCCCTGCCCCGCCCCATATCAGGAAAAGTGAATGGTGCATGTTTTCCCTGCTGGCAGGAAATCCACCAATTTCTCTACCTTAACTTACCCTACAGTAAACAGGGCATCACCACTCACTGGCCTTATTAATCACTGAGCAAATTTATGTTGGCTTACTTTGGGCCACTTCACAGAGAGAAGGAAAATGAATCCAACTGGCTATCTGGATGTGCCCCGACACCAAGAGCTGTTAATTACTGGAACAAGAGACAGGGCATTGTTTATAGAATTCCTTCCTTATGCCCCTTATTCTTTCTGGTTGTTTTGATGTCAAACTAATTTTCAACATATTAGCTTGGGATAGTTTTACCCCCAAGGGCAGCACCCAATTTTTAAAAATAGGAACAAATACATACAAATATGGACACTCCTTGGGTGCAAAATTAATCTCAAATGGTTACCTGTTCAGGGAGGCTAAGTGAATTTTTGCAAAAACAACAGTAACTTGAAGACTGAAACTTCCCAACTGCAAATCTGTTTACATGAAGCTCCCCCACGTATATCAGCAACATAGGTCTGGATCCAAGCTGGGGATTTTCTTTCAGCTAACCAAGAGGAACACAGCGTTAGTTGTTTGTGGCCACTTTTAAGATCTGTGGGTCATTCTGACCTGCTCTGCAGTTCAGTGTGAGCAATTGGTCAACACTTGGATAATAGCTATTTCTTTTAAGGCAAGAGTCTAGATATGCTTCCCTCTTACAAAATCTAAGGAGACGCTACCTATTGGGCTGTGCAGCATGGGAATGCAGCTTTAGTAACCGCAAGTGCAGTGGGGCAAACATGTCTCTTAGGCTTCCCACCGTTGCCCTAGACCAGGATGGGGAACTCGTCCCAGCTGATGTTAATGGATCCCAACTCCCAGCAGTCACAGCCAACATGGCTAGCAGTATGAGTTGATGGGAATTCGGGTCCTAAAACAGCTGGATATTCTTCCTCTTCTGCCCTGAATACTGACCCAACATACATCCTATTACTCACTGTCAAACTCAGAATCTGAAATACTGTAGTACTGTAAAAGCAATGATCAGAATACTTGAGTAATTTTTGTGCAACAAAAAAGCCTGCAACTTGGTCATGAATTGGTAATGACTCTGTATGTGTCAGGACTAAACCATTAAGGATATGTAGCAGCAACAACCACAGTATTTCCAAACAATAAATTACACAAAGAGAATACTGTTGCAGGGTCCCTAAACCTCCTTTCAAAAACAACTGTGGGCAAAACTGTGGTCAGTCCTCGGTCTTATACTGGCGCATGTCACTGTTTAGGTGTATCTCTGCAGGTTTTTTCTCAATCATCTCTTCTGACTGTGGGAGTGGTGTTCCCACTTCAGTTCTCTTCTATGTTGCAAAGCATTTGCCATTTATAGAAAAATGACTGGCACGTTCTTTACTGTTACTAAGCAACCCAAGCTAGAGTCGCAATAATTGGGTTTGTTTTGGGATCGGAATGCCAGGCTGATAGATGGATACCTCTTTTTCATCTCCCTCTTGCTGACAAAAAGTCTCATTTTACGCTGAGGCAGGGGCCATTTGGAGGCTTTGCTTTTAATTTCACGTTTCCTCTCAGAGTTTGGAAATTGAGGATGTGGAAATCAGGGGCCTTCCGGGTTCAGCTCCCAGCAGCGCAACCAGCCTGGTCAGTGGTGAGAAATAAGCTGCACTTCCCCTGTCTCAGGAGCCTTAAGTTTCCTAACCCTTTCGTGAATTATTGTATTTAAAATATTTATATACTCTTTCCAAGCAATCACACTTTGAAGCACTCCGCAAGAAAAACAATGAAAGTAATAAACACAATACCTGTACACATTAAAACAATATTTAAACAATCCATGTTCAGTAAAAAGGTAGTTGGAGACCAGGGAGAGAAAACAAAACCGAACCATTTGTCCAACGTTTTCCTAGGGAAGGCTGGAAAATGTAACGACTCCTCAGCTCTGCCACGGCAAAGGCAGTCCGCTCCATATCCCGGTCCGGACTGCTCGCCTTTGCCACCAGAAGCAAAATCTTGAGCCCGGCCTGGTAGCTGATTAGCAGCAGCTTCAGCAACGGGGTAAGGTGCACACGGCATCCAGGTTGCCCCGTTCTCTGCCGTTAAGAGCAGAGCACATGACAGTAACCTAAATGTGAGGTTATCAGCAGGTTGATAATGCGGGGGCTCAAGAGAGAAAGTAAATGCATGGAAATGAGGAAAAAACCTATTCCCCTGAAGTTCAGGAATGGATTCAAGCTAAGTATTTGTGGTCAATTTTTGAAATGCCAGCATATCCTAAAAATGCTAAGATGAAGCAATGTGTTTCTATATGGCCTAGATTTAATTATAAAATGTAAGGATTGAACTGATCTTATATTGATACTACACAGATCTTTTTTTCCCTTAGTTTCTTTTTCTTTTTTTCTTTTTACTTTAATCCCAGTAATGTATGTGGGTGGGTTCTCTCTCTCTCTCTCTCTCTCTCTCTCTTTTTGAGGCACAATCACTGGTATGTCTTTTTGTTGTTGTTGCTATTCATTTGTTATAATGAAGTATGATTTTAAAAAATTTAAAAGGACAGGCCCCATCTGGAGCTCCTCTAGGAACATAAACTTTTCCAGTGTGCAACAACTGTATGGAAAGCTTAGTGTTGTGGAAAAAAAGGGAATGGAGCACCAGCGGGTCACAGTTGGATATTCTGCGGTGATGGGATTGGACTGAACCTACTGCATGATTGTATTTAATCTCTGTTGTTCCTTTGCAGCTCTGGGCAAATGCACAAGAACCAGATCCATCCTTATTTCCCTTCTCAAGGTCCCCTTGATGTTTGCCTTTTTATACCTGTTTGTGTGCTCCCTCGATGTGCTGAGCTCTGCTTTCCAGCTGGCAGGAGGTGAGGGTCACCATGATGCTTGGCTGCCTCCCCTCCCCTCCCCTCCCCCCCCCACCCCCAGCCCTTTCTCCCTAATGATCCCTCAGAAGGCACTGCTCCATGTCCTTCTGCGTGGAGCCCACCTCACCTGTCTTTCTCTGCTGCTGGCGTGGGTGCGGCTGGAACTGGGCCCCAAAGAAAGAGGCTAAGATCAACACTGGAACATTGCTTCTGCTGGGCACTGGACAGCTTTTACAGTGGAAAAAATGCATGGAGTGAGAAACATGGAAGTTAGGAGCAGTATAACTTTTGTAAGAAAGCATTCTTGTGTAAAAGAAGATACAGACAAGCCTTATTCAGGGAATAACAAGGCGATAGGAAAACCTATGTTACTTAAGCCCATCTACCATTAGAAACCTCAGCATGCTGCCCTCCATTATGGAAACAAGACCAGTCAGTCAGGGAAGTACTGTTGTTGCACAGGTCAGAGTCAGAAGATGAAGAGAGCTGAACTGAGAGTAGAAGGAAGGGTTGAAAGCCCTGGGAGCGTGAGTAGGAACATGTTATCTAGAGACATGCAGAGTAAATTTTGAACAAGAAAGGAGATCAAAGTGCAGAAGCTGCCTTGGTTAATTATCTCCACATCAATTGTCCCAGGGGTCAGTAGGCTTATTGATGCAGAAAGCTGGTGTGTGTAAATTAATTTCACTAGAGATTCTGGAGGCTGGCCCCTTCCCATCCCTCCAGATGTTTTTCTGTGCTGGATGAGGAGTCCACAATCTCTTCTCCAAAAGGGCAAATTTTGTTCACTTCGGATTAGCAAGCACTTTGAGGCAGTCCTCATTTGTTCAGTTCTACCACATTATCAACTGTATGGCAACAATTCCACCATATTTTACTAATGCTACTTTATAAGTGCCAATTTCACATTCTCTTCTCTTCTCTTCTCTTCTCTTCTCTTCTCTTCTCTTCTCTTCTCTTCTCTTCTCTTCTCTTCTCTTCTCT